ATCTTTTATGAAGATTTAAAACACTGAGTTCAGAAATAGCATCATGAGGATAACTATGTAATTACTTCAAATACTGTAACAACAACTGAACTTCCTTGTGCTTGGGCTCGGCAGGTTCAGTTCATTGAAATGTACTGGTTCATAAGAATTTTTCTTCACTTTTTAGTCATCTTTAGCACTCATCTCTCTTTTCAAGTTGTACATTCAGACTTGGATTGAGAACACCAGCTCCTCAGAGGTTGAATAACTTTGTGGGAAAATTTGTGTTTTTCTTTAAATTTTTCTTTTCATCAGTCAGGGATATCAAGGCATATTACTACCTACAGAGAAGTGTGCAGAAATTGAAGAAAAATATATGGATGGAGGGTTTTTGTATAATCTTCCTCTTCATTGAGAGAGTGGGAGAAATCCATAATAGTTATCAAAATTTACTGCAGTCAGGCTTCTGTGTTTTGTTTCAAAATCAGAAAAGTAAATCAAAAGATTCAATAAGAATGTTTCATAACTGTTGAAAATCCATGCACAAAACAACATGTAGGCTGTTGTTCTAATCTACTTTCAGTTCTACATTAGGTCATTACAGTGGGTGAGTAATTCAGGTGTGCAACAGAGCCGTCCCATTACTTCTTGGACATAACTGGATATTTTAAGCTTTTATACTTAGACAAAGTCAATTTAATTGCAATAAGCCCTTTGGCAAAACACTATTTAAAAAAAAAAAAAAAAAAAAAGAGGGAGAAGTGAAGGAGAAAATCTTTTGGAGTTTGAGTGTTTTTCGTATTTCTTTCCTACAAAGCAATTCGCTCTTTTAGTGAAAACACTTTTTGCGTTCCACATAATAATGAGCAGAAACCTCTACCTTGTGCTGATTTCTGAGCTGTCAGCTTTACAAAGGTAGGGATAGATGCACATTGGGCTCATATTTGAGACCATTGAAGATGGTTTTTTAACAGAGGTAAGGCTACCAGAAATCCTAGATGATGTTGTACTCTGTTCAGTGCTTTCACATCACACAGCATCTGCCTGACTGAATGAGCATGAGTGTTAAGGGCACTCTGACTGCAGAAGGGCGGATCAGAGGAGGTAAGAAAGAAGTATCTAGTGATGAGGCATGTGAGAAAGTGCTGCAGCTGGCTGGAGCCCTTCTGATGCTCGGAATACAGATGTTGCAGGGAGCAGGTGAAGGTAGTCCAAACTGCTGCAGGTGGATTGCATCTGCCTACACAGCTCTTCCATTACCAGCTGCCTCTGAACTTTGCTCTCACCTGAAGTACGCTGTGTGTAATGCTTACCTGTCAGGGTGGCCTTGCTTGCTGAAATATTAAATAGCTTGAAATGGCAATACAGGAAGCTTAACAAAATGAACAAGGAGGAAAAATACCCACTTGTTTGTTCTGGTGCTCTCAAGCGTTCACTACTATGTTACTTTGACCACCAGATCTTGTGCAGGGCTGTGAATGACACTTCCCTTCAGACAGGAAAAGGAAATTCTTCTATTGAAGATGAGTGTGAGCACCCATCTTGGTGAGGTGCTGGTAGCAGGGATTTACCAGAAGAGAATACTCAGAGCCTTTGCACTGCACTGGTGTTAGTTTTGTTTAGTAATTATGCTGTGTGTGACACAAACATGCTTGTTTTGGACTCGCAGGGTCTCTGCAGGAGGCAAGGCTGTACATCTGGTAGCAGGGAATGTTGCACTTCAGGGCTCAGAGCTCCAATGCGCTGGCATTTTCTGGAGGTCTGGGGAGCTGTATTTTTTGGAGTTAACCTCTCATGAGGTTGGACTTTATTCTTTTCCAAGAATAAAAGCCTGTTGCTGTATTGCTTAACCTTAATCCCTTACCTCACTTGTACCAGACCTACTGCATAGCCCGCTGATGTACTCTAGACCCTATTGACTTTTCAGGAGGTGGCCTTGTGCTGCAGTGGCCTCTGTAGTTGTCTCTTCCGTGTGTGGGAATGCTCTTTCTTCTCTGCAGTAGTAGGATTCAAAGACCATGCTAGAATCTCCTTTTTTGTCAGCCTGTCAAGGGATATGATTTTGGTTACAGCTATTGTGCCCTCAAATAACTTTTCAGATGCTTTAAGGTTCTATAGTGCAATATCAAGTGGTGTAAGAGCAAGATGATGAGAATAGGAGTTGTTTCTCTAGATCACCCGTAAGAGCTAGCATACCTCAGGTACCAGTAAGTCTCAACTAAGGCATGCCATGCTTGTCAGAGTAGCCATGTGCTACTTTTATTCCTGATGTATTAATTTGTTAGGTAGATTCTAACAGCAGAGGTTCTGTTCGAGAAAGGACACTTCTGCTTTTGTTGCTGATTGTATCTCCTGGTACTCTGTGTAACGTGTTACATTGTGCTCACTGATGGAATTCTGAGTAATGTATCTTTATGTATGCTACCTGAAGTATCATACAAATAAGTTGTCCTCAGCTGTGTAGAAAATGGTAGGGAGGAAAAAATTGCCAGTAACTATTCAAAAGTGATTGCAAACATTTCTGCTGCCTACTGAAATTGACTTTGAAGTTGTCATCTCTTTGCCTTGGTCCAACATAGCCAAATACTCCAAAGAGAACTGTTCTGCTATCTGCCTCCTGCGTGCTGTCCTGGGCCTTGTATGCCCATGTCCATTGATTAGATTTCTGTAGCCTTTCAGAAACCTGCAATCTTCAGGCTCTATCATGATGTAAGGCATGCCAGGGTATGCTATGCTTATGGGTCCAAACTTTTTAGATTGAAAATAAGTATGTAGCCCTTATCAAGAATAATTTACCGTTCTGTATAGAAGGAAGAATAGGATGTAAGGTATTGTCACAAAAAAAATTCACTGCAATTTCTTTCGCATAAGCTTAAATTCTGAGTAGAGAGGCTGTTAATTAGTGTGCAGATTGTTTTAATTGGCTGTAATAAAAAGCTAATTGGTGTTTTGCTTAAAGAGTGAATTAAAGTGTTGCTATAGAAACTTTGCATGTGTATAGTGCTGTTCTACATGAGGGCATAATAGTCTAATGACCTTTCTGAGCCAGCTTGTATAGTCAAAGAGAAAGTGTTAAATTCAGGCTTGTGGATGTGATTGTTAAGGAGTTTGTAACTTCACCCATTTCATTGCCCAAAAGTGTTGGTGGCTTTGTCTGATTGAATGTTCCTCTTGACTTGTGTCAAGCCATACAATAAATGATGGTCTCAGAAGACCTGAGCTCTTGTAAAACTGGAGTGCACCAGTTTTAAATGTGTAAACTGATCTGTATTCTGTCAAGCATAAAATGTACTGCTTGGAAAAATTCATTTTCATAATCAGAGAAAGTGTGATGATGGGTCATAAGTGACAACACCTAATCTGTTAGCTGTTGTATTCCTCTCTCTGCTTCTCACCTCTACGCACTGGTGGCCGAGTCCATGTGAAACACAGGAAGTATGTTTTTAAGTCAAAGGAGATTTCTGCTTTCATTTGCCACGTTCTCTTCCAGCAAAAATACTGATCTCCTTGAACATAAACTTTGTCAATTGAGGAGAGTTTAATTTCTTTTCCGCTGTGAATAGGAATCTTTTCCTTGAGTTGGTGTACTCACCTGGCTAAGTTACTGAGGTATCCTCATCTGTACTTCTGCTAACTGCTTGAAGGTTAGATACAGATGGCATTGACAAAAATAAACTGAAGTGGTTATGGATATATTAATTCCCGCACAAAATGAGGTCCAGTAATAAAATGTCCTACGTTGATGATGGGGAAAGTTTAAACTTGACCTTTTAAGTTCCCTGATCCTAAATCTCATGGTTACTTTATAAATGGGCAAAATATATTATTTCTTTTTTTAACTGCATATCTAGAAGATGGAGATGGGGTGAAGTCCTGAAATAATTATTCATAGTGACAGACAAGTTAATGTTCTGCATGTTTTAATGATGTTGTGAATGTCTAAATGTGGAAGAGTGGATGAAATTCCAACCTGTTAACCCTTTCTGGGATGAGTTTTTATTTTCTCTGTTTTTTAGCAGTAAAAGCAAATGAGTATCCTCTATCTGCTGAATTTGCCACAGCACTTATTCCTCACAATAGTAAAACAGTTTTTGAGATTGATTATTTTGTTTTTTTTTTTTGTTTGTTTGTTTTAAATTTAGCATTTTTCTTCCTGGTAGATACTTAGAACTGAAAGACTCCTCTAAGTGTGCAGATCTAGCAGAGCCTTGTAGAATTGCCAAGAACTGAACCATCAGCTTCTTTCTATGGCTGTGGATCATGACTGAATAGTATCATAACTTAGTGGCTATTTTCCCCTTGATACATATATGTTAGCCCTACTAGTGTTAATGGCGTTTTGAAATGCTTCCCTCATATATTCAATATCTACTACTGATGTCCAAACCCTGAAGTCTTATGAATTGGATGGAATGTTGCATCTCCAGAACTGAGTAGAATGTTGGGTTTAATCTCATAGCTCATCTTATGAGCAGTAAAACAGTAAGACAGATAAAATGTTTTAATATGAAGCTTTTATCTGAGATCTGTGAGCAGATAACTCTGTAGGTGGTCCAGGGAAAGAACAGTGAACGTGGGCTTTTTATCTTGCCCACCTACTTACATGGCAGTTACAGCTTGAAGATGGTGTTTTGAGGAAGACTAGTGCGATATTGTACTTACAGCTGTCAAGGAAATGCTCCTATTTTGGAAATCATTCACTCTAAGGTCATTCTGCTTTTTTTTTTTTGCTTTGCTGAAGTTCATTGCCAATTTTTTGAGTTTATGAGGCTCTGAGGATCCTGCTGGTGTTGATGTTGATGTTGTTCCTACTTTAAGTGATGTGTTGGTCCAGGTGACTTCTCAGCCCTACCTCACAAAAATTATTTGAACTTTCTGTAACAAATTTCTAATCTATAATCATGAAGGAGCTATGTTTCTGTTCTTTTCTCAAATTTTATAGCAATTGAATGCTGAGTAGATCAAGTATTATCAACTGTGTGGGTTTTTTTAAAAAAAAAAACAGATATAAGTTTCAATTATGTCTTTTTAAAACTTTGTTTTACAGCTTCTATTTTCCTTATTGGCTAAAAGAGAATTTGGTCAGATTTCTGAAAACATGCATAGGAAAATATGGAAAAGCCTGTTCCTTCTCTTCCCTGTTTTCTTGTGTGCTCAAAGAGATCTGTTTTGACGTACCTGCTGCAGCATTAGATTTACTGAGTAAAACTTAGGTGGAAGTGTGGTGTTTGGTAGAGGTAAACCATGCTGCTGTGAGTTCAGTGTATTTGTCTTGGTTAATGCTGGCTGCAGTCCTGTAAAGCAAAGGGGAGCGCTGGAGGAGCACTGTGGGTTCTGCATTGGGAATGTCAACAGGAGGTCTTGGAAAGAGCTGCAGCGCGTGGGAGTAGTTGTTGTTGTTATTGTTTCTCTGTATGTTTTTTTTTTTTTTTTCCCCATTATTACCACTTCATTGCTGTAATATGATTGTGTTTGTGGGAAATTACACCGGCACAACTTGAGTTGCTATTGATTCTTGCTTGTTCTATATTTTCTATACTGTGGCGACAGAGTTATTAATGGAGTTATCTGTACAATCTTTATGGTTAGCTATGATTAGTACTGAATGACTGTGATATACACAGAAACTATTTAAATATGTACTGAGCTATCCTGTTTTGCTCAGAGAAGGAATACATTGACTCGCATGTATTTTGTTGAAAGGAGGAGAGGACTTTGTATGGATTTATATGAATAATGGATTGCTGATGGGAAATAGTTGAAAAAAGGAAATAATCAAGATAATAGGCTTCATTGTAGTAAGAATACTGCTATGTTATTGATGGATAAGCAGGGCACAGGATAGTCAACTGTCCAGTGTTGTGTAATAGCACAGAACCAACCACAAGCTGCCTGCACGCAAACCTGTTACTTTTGGCTCGGACCTTGCTGGATTGGGTTATTCACACTTCAGGCAGTAGGTTCTTACTTCATTTCTTTAAGTGAATGAAATACCTGTAAAGTAGCTGCATGTTTAAAAATAAATTCTACTTTGCTTCTGCATGGTCAGGAAAATGCATCTTCTATCTGTATTTAGAAGTTACACTGTTGTAAATAGTAGGATTTCTATTTCAATATTATGAAGTATGATGTGTTCTTTTGCAGAGAATATCATGGAGTCTTTGAGGCCAGATGGAAAACATGCCTTCGTGAAAATGTTTCTACTCAACTAATCCTGTCTTGGCTTTAAGGTGAATGAAAATCATCTATCAAACACCTATTCTAAAACTTTTTTCTTATCATAATTGTTCTGTTTGAAGGAGATTTGAGCATTTTATGTGCTCAAAAGAATTTTAAGAAGTTGCAAAACTAAGTGTTTGCTCAGAATAGAGTGCAAACACGAGTTTGGACCGTGCTGCAGGAGTAAACACAAAGGCAGTCGGTGGCATGAATGCTTGTGTCTAACATCGTGCCTTGGCAACTGTTGGTTTTGTCTAAAAACTGAATATGCATATGAAGGAGAAATCGCTAAAATTGAATGGAAAATGTGAAATTAGAAAGGCAGCAAGGTATAAATAATTGAAAACCAGGTTGCAACTCTCACTTCTGCATTTTATGAGGTCAGTTGCAAAAAAAAATGATAGATCGGGAATTTGCATTTCTGTTCCTCCTAATTTTGCTTTCATTATACCACACTCTGATATGGAGAGCACGGGAGTGAAACTGGTGAAAGGGTAATTAAATATCTGCAAGAAATTAAGAGCCAAATCAGTGGCTGATTCTCAGTGGTCTGCAGCTTTCATCATATATGCACGTGCTTTGGAAATGTATCCCCTCATACTGTGTGCTTCTAGCCTTTCTTCTGCAGAACTGTTCAACTTACTGTGTGCCATGGTACAACATGTCACACTTGTTTAGTTTATGGAATAATTGTAGTAAATACAGTTATTTATATTATCTTTCTAGACCCTTAATTACTTCATATTGAAGCCAAGTATTCTTAATCTCCTCTGCATGCTCTAATATCGTTGCCATATTTCATTTGGTTGTTTTGTGCTCGTTCTTTGAAATCATCCAAAATTTTCGGTTTTGTGAAACTCATCTTGCTCTGTCTGTGAGTTAAGGGTTTGGTAAGATTACTGTTCTCAGAAAAGTCTTAATTACAAGTGTATATCTTTCCAGACTTAGCTGGTACTATCAGATGCAGTTATAACAATACCCTCTCTTCATATCTGAATATTAGGGGTTATGTTACTAAGGCATGTCATAAGACTAACTTCCAGGTAGCACTAAAACAAACTAAAAACAAAACAAAAAAACCCCACACAACTCAAGGTCAAGAAATGCTCACAGTTTTGTGGTTTGAAGGCCCAGCTCTTGTGTGGAGTCTCCAAGCTGCTGGAGTTCAAGGTGTGCCTGGACAATGTTTTCACACAAAGGGCTTAATTTGTGTTTTGTCCTGTGTAGATCCAGGAGTCAGGTTTGACTGATGATCCTTGTGGGTCCCTTCCCACTTGGGGTGTTCTGTGATTAAGCATTGAGGTACTTCTAGAACCAGGTTGGTCTTGATAAATTTGCCTGTGAAAGGAGGTCAAAGTAAAACTCAGCAATACTTGCAAATGAAGAGATAGACCTTTGGTGAGCGTGCTCAGCTGGTCGGAGGGTACAGCAGCAACCTTTAGCTAAATAATAGTTTTGTTCTGCCTAATGATATAGCTGTGTAATGGGCTTGACTGTATCTCCTTTAGCCTGAGAATTCTAATTCTTTACGAAGGAACTTAGAGAAATTGAAAGCTTTCATTAATGTCAGTGAAGCTACTTGTATTTCCTAATCATAATTTTGTGATTTGAACCCCTGTAGTAGGTGTACGGCTCCAGCTGGGTGTGTGTTAATACTTAGGATGTGGGATGCATGGGAAACACCAAAATAATCCAAGATTTGTGGTTAGCCAGTATGTATCATTCTTAGCAAATAATGAACTTCTCTAGGTTACTGTCACAGTACTGGTACAGTGTTAATGAACTGAAGCTTTAATAAATTATAAAGACAAAAGAACTTGTCATGATGAAATTAAGTGACCCTAGAACTTGTATGCTGACACAACTTAAGGCACAGTAAGTGAAAAACAAAATTGGTGGTTCCTAGAGGTAGCTGTGATGTAGCCATTTTCCCCCTGTATTTCAAATATTTTGTCTGTGTGTGTTAGTCGCCTTGGCACAGCAGACTGAGGATTAGGCTTGTGGAGAGGCTGCTGCTATTCCCAAAGATTGGACTGTCCCCTGACACGTCTGGATCATGCAAGAACTCTATCAGATTCTTATGCTTTCTCTTCATCTATTTGGCTCTATCAAACAAACCTTAGAATTCTGTCATTTGAATTGTGATCTGTTTTTGTGCTGGTACTAAGCAGCAAACAGCAATAGTCAGGATATTTCCTTCCACAGTGTAGAGATGTTTCCTTCATCTAGGTTTGGCTTTTTTTTTTTTTTTTTTTTGCTTTCTTTTGTTGTTATTGATACCAGATTTGTTTCTGTTTGTTAGATTGGCTTTGCTGAATTCCATTTATTTTGATATCTGTATTCATGAAGCGTGCAACAAAATACCTACAAACCTTATTAAATGAGTGTTGGGGAGTAGTAGTCCTGTGTAATAGCACTGTACCTTCTCTTATTGGTTCTTCATGTCAGAGGGAGATGTATTGTTCTATGACTTCTCTCCTCTGGCAGTTGCTGTGTACAGACATGGGAATAATTCAAAGCTGGAGAGACTGATGTGGCTGTCCTGTCTGGAGGCAAGTAAGACTTACTTGGAATAATTACCTCTGTGTTCAGTAGCTATACTTAAAGAAAGAACCTCTGATCCTGAAGATTCTATTGATGGGAAAACTCTCATTCATGGAACACTGCCCGACAGATTACACTGCTAGAAAAATTTGCCCAGCTTTTATTTTGACTTTGTATAAATTCATCTTGAAGCATTGAAAATAGCCTTTTTTTCTAAATCTGTACATCCTTCTAGTAACACATTTCTGATCCTGGCTTAAATGGGCAGTTAATTTATACACCAACTTCAGCTTAAATGAATCTGATCAAGCTTCCTAAACCTTTCCTTTTTAAGGAGTTTTCCAGTTTCCTTTCAGAGGAAGGTTTTGTTCACAGTCCTTGCCCTATCACCTCTAATCAACCACCTCTCTGTGGACAGTTGGCATACCTGGAAAACGTTCACATATTGGCCTTAATGATTAAAAAAAAAATGCAGTTCCTTAGTTGTATGTTCAAGATGGATCTGTGTGCAGCATTGTACTGGGAGTCTCCCATTTCCCTGTTACGGACTAGTGAGTTTGCACTTCATGATAGCTTGTAGTACTTTGCCTTAAGCTTGTCAGGTTTTCACCATTTTGATGGTTTTCATCGCCTGAAGAGTCCTACTAAACTTGAGTCTCTCAAAAACAAGCAAGATAACAAGATTTTGAAATACTCAGAATGTGTAAAGGATTGTTACGTGGTAACAGTAAGGTGATGCAAGTAAGAGCATTTGGAAGAGCCCGGATTCCTCCCCCACCCCCATGTCCTCAGCCATGGTTGTTCCCTTCCCCTGTGCCACCACAGGTGTTTGAGCTGCAATATGAGGAGTTGAGTGGGAGCTTTTGTGGCTGAAAATAAGCTAGAGCTAAGGAGAGGAACTGTTGTCATTTTGGTTTGCATTGCCTAACTCAGTCTGCAACTACATAACTTGCCTGTTAGTCCTGCACGTAGAAGTTAGTCTGTGGCTTGGGGATAGGCAGGGACACTGCTGCTTTGGAGATTGAGCTTGTTTATATCAATATAAAGGGCAATGGATCAGGGCTTGAAATATTGCGTGGCTTCCGTGGAATACAATAGAGGTAACACACTTCTGCTTCTGAGATCAACTGCTATTTATTTATTTCAGCAAGATTTAGAATAGTGTTTCCTCATGTTGAATGCCATTCTTTTGGAGTTAAAAAGCTGTCATCTGATACTTATTTATTGCAAATTCAAAGGGCACTTCAGTGCTGTCAGCGTGAGATCATCGCTGTCTAATAATAGGCATTTCAGAAGATTTCTATGAATGTCAACTTTAACAGAGCCCTCTTACTAAAAGAACTGTACCTTGTAATCATGCCATATGTTTTACTACAAAGCAATTACATGAATTGTCTGAAACTGGCTAAACATATCAGTTATTAAAACTCAATGTTTCTTTTGATCAGACAGTAAGTCATCTTGTTTAATACTTTCCCCACCCAGCCCTCCCTTTCCCTCTTTGTGTGTTGGAGAGGAAAGAAAGTAGGCCTGATGGTTGCTGATGGCTAATGCAAAAACATATGGAACCTGTAGTGGCTGTGTGGCAGCATGGAGTGGGTGGGCTTGAGGTTCCTTGTTACTACATAGGAGCTGACAGTGGGCTGTTCTGCCAAGCTTATGAACAGTGACTTAAGCATTTTTGGATGCTTAACTCTTAAGAGCCCTCGTGGCTGTGTTAATTTCATACACTGCATGCTTTGTCGCTTTTTCTTTTAAAAATAAACACACGTGAATGGAAGCAAATCAACCATTTTGGTTGAAAGAATAAAATACATTGTGATTCAGTCCTGTTATAGTTATTGGCTTTCAAGATGAGAGCCACATTTAGTAAAAGGTTTACTGAAAATTGCAAGCTCTTAGATCTAATTCCAGGTAAAGTTATGCTTCCTTAGTCTGAGAGCCCTCTGGAAAAGACCCTCAATGTGCTGAAAGCTCAAAGGAGATGAGCTAGGGCTTGTATTACAATTGGGATCTTCAAGAGATTGCCTTTTTTGTGGCTAAAAACACTATCATGAAGTGATGTGTCCACTATGTTTCATCTCCTCCAGTGGTGCGATACCAGGCTGTGAACAAACTGTGTATGAGGAGTTTGACAGTCTCAACCATGTACAAGCTGTTTTTTTTTGTTTTTTTGTTTTTTTTTTTTTACAACAAATCAAATGGATTTTGAATATAGGTGTCAGTATGAGCTGTCGATCTGCTGTTCTGTCACAGAACAACTGTGCAGACAGTGCTCCATGAGAGACGTGACATTTTGGTTTGGTGATTTCTTAGCATGGTTTTAGGAGGCCTTCATGGAAAAGTAGCTCCACATGAACGCTTCTATATGGAGGTTTTTGTTGAAGGAAGAAGTTGCAACTAGCTTGCTGAAAAAGTTGCCCGATCTTAGTGTGTGTCGTTCTGATGTTGCCAGAGGTGTTATTTTTGTAGCTCTTTCAGCTCTTCACAATAACTTTGCTCCCTAATGATTAGATCAAAGCTGCAGGAAACAGGTTCTTCTTTTGAACTGCCGAGCCTGGGAACTGCCCAACCATTTTGTTTCTCTGTTTATTCCACCAGGTAAAAATGAGGTTAATATATAAGCATCTACAATTGTATTGTGGTGGGAACTCTCAAAAGATATAAAATATCTTTTTGGCAGTATGAACAACTGCAATTTGGGAAATGCTTGCTTCCTTTTTTATTTTATTTTAATATTGAGATCAGTTATTTGTTAATAGCTGTTAAAGCTGAAAGCTTCTTGCAGCACTTGGCGCGCTGTGAAACCTGACAACCAGCTGTCAAAATACACTGTGTGCGTGTGGAAGTGTTTCCAGATAGCTTTGAAGAAATCCGTTCTGTTTACTAGCTACTTTGTAATTATCAAACTTTGAATAATCTACACAAAAATCAATGTTTCCATCTAACTCTTTTCTGCACAGCCCAATCTCTCTTATTGCCTTCTTGTGAACAGACTCAGCAGCAGCCAACTGTAGAGTTATTGCCAAGTAGAGATGCAGGAATTCAGGTGAAATGTTTCAGTGTGTGTAGCTGGAGCCTTAAGGCAGTTGTCATGAACAAAATAATCTTTCTCCTCCATTCTTCCCATTGCAAACTGTAGATTCTGTCTTACTATTTATTTTTTTAATGATCTGTATGTACATTAGAAATCCTGAACTTGCTTCAGGGTATTGAGAAGTGTTTCATGGCTTATGATGAAGGAAGGTTTGTTCTAGACAGTATATTGTGACAACTTGTATTATTAAGAACAGCTTTGGTCTGTTGACAAGATATTTTCTTCCTGTTGTTTTCACCTTCAAGTGTCTGCTGATACAACTGTAGTAAATTCAACATCACTGGCATGATTCAAGGAATTGCATAGGGCCCTGCGAACTTTAGAGCCATGTGTCTGAAACTGTGGCTTAGCCTACTGTATGAACAAAGGAAAATGGTCCTTGTAAAATTTAGGAATCTGTGTTTACATCTGAGAGACGTAATTGCTGAATATTTCTCCCCCTATAATAGGTTTGGAGGTCTTAATATATTGAACGTGAATGAAGAAAGCAATTAAGGAGCAGTAAATTAATTAGATATATATATGTGCCTATGGTTGCTCTTCACTCTCTGTGTTGCAGTCACTGCTTGCCGCTGGAGGGGAAAGAAATAAATCTGTTCCACTTCTATAATGTTACTGAACATGTTCTTCTACGTGCAACTAAATTCATTCTAAATTGTAAATAATTGTTTCTCAGTCTAAAGAATGTGAGAGTATGTGAATATACTGAAGGCTTCCAGAATTCTATTGGAATGCCTGCTGACTTCTTAAGAAATTGCAGCACTGCTGGGAAAGAAAAGCCTTATATGTAAGTTGGGTTTTAGAATGATGCTTTAAATCAACTGGCTTTGACACTCTAAACATTTTTTTCAAGGAATTTGCTTCAGTTTTCTTCTACTGCCTCACACCATAGTAACTTTTGTCATTTTTCTTGTTTCTTCTTTTGGGAATCGAATGTAAGTCATGAAATATCAGTCCAGAGCAGGCAGGAGTTAATGTGTGTGTGCGTGCACATGTCCTGAGCTTGTTCAAAATCACAATTCCAATTCCTTTTCTTGGTTATGTACATGCAGTTAACTTCTCATCTTTCTTTTTGGCTTCTGTGCTGTTTTATTTCCTTTACATAATGCCCTGTCTGATACTGAGACAAATTATTGATTAAAGCATATGAAACAAGTGCATGGTGTGTAAGCAGGGAAAATGGGTACGAGTAATATATTTTAATCTCATTTCCTATGTTGCTTCTGTATTAAAAAGAAAAAAATCTATGTGAAAATATATTAAGTAATGCAATAACTGCATACTAGTAAATACAAAGCCAACAGCTGTGTTTTCCAGAAGTACATCACTGCAAGTAGAATTGGGAAAAATAAAACTTTATTGCAGTTTTGGGAAGAAAGGGAGAAACAATGCTAATCTAAAAATAATTTATCTTTTTTTTTTTTCTTTTTTTTGCCATTTAGGGAGAAAGAATAAGATTTTGCTGGCTATATTCTCTCTGGAAAAATATAGCTGCTCTTATTTCTGGGAGTACTGCATAGATAATTTTAAGATGCAAGTACCAATTTGGAATATTATTCCACACTAGAAATGCTTTCTATGGGGAGTTACTTGTTAGTAATTGAACTAACTAATTGGGGGGCAAAATGAAGAATTTATTTAATCAGAAGACCAGTTCAGATGTGGTGCATCTGTCTTGCTGACCAAGAAGGCCAGTGTTTGAGCTGGAATTTGTGCAGTCCAAGTGCTGTGTCACCCATCACATTTTGCAGAATAGTTGCTAAAAACTAATGAGATGTACTTTGCATGGACTAATGAGATGTGCTTTATCTGCAGAGGGCTATAAGCAGATGTAATGTAAAAGGAGATGGTAAATTAAGAGTGTGCTGAATTTGGGCTGTGCATATACTGCACAGTGCTGCTGGGTCAGAGAGGCTGAGCACCCCTAACACCTTCTCAGCACCAAAAAAACCTGTCTTGTCCTCATGTTCTGTGCTCCTTTGTAGCCTGATCAACATCTTTAAAGCAGCAGACAGCTGAGCCTTCTGCTGGTGAAACTATGGGGTCAGTGAATTCAATGGGCTTAGTGCAGCTTTGGAATGCTGCAGCTGGCACAGGGAGCATCACATCTGCTGACTGTAAGAGCAAGATGTGGGCACAGAACTATCATGTTGGTGGCAAGTCTTTGTCAGTATGGCCCCGCATTTATCGGGCTGTGTGCACGTATCAGAAGCACGTGTTAGGTTGGTTGATGATGTGGGAAAGCTGAACCTCCCAGAAGGAAGTGCTTGCAGCAACCAATGGGAGGTACAGGCAGCAACTCCCTACAGTTCTCAAAATGGCTGCTTTGCAGTTATGTGACAATCCCAGAAACTGAGGCACTCTGTTAGCTTAGTGTTGTTTCTTCAGAAGGCGTGCACACACGCATTTTACTGCTCTTCCGCTGGAGAAATCTTTAGTGATTGAGTATTCAAATTTGAGATTTGTTCTGTCTGTTCTATATTTGCTGGGCTAGAAGATGCTTCTTGTCCAAATCTTCATTGGCTTGAAAATCCTTCTCTGTATTTGATCACTATTTCACATAGCTTGCCAATGTGACTGAAGCTCAAGCTGACCTGGTTAAACCTCAATTGTTCCTAACTATGCTAGGTGTATCTAGGGCTGAGTTGAGATTTTATTAAGATGAACTAAGGTCACCCTGTTCTTGGTGGTTTTTTTTTGTTTTGTTTTTTGTTTTTTTTTTTTTTTAGTGTTTGGAAGCTATGCTTTCTCGAAAATGGTAGAGAAAGACTAAAATATTGACTTAAAACCACAAAAAAAAAAACCCCAACAAACTCACAATACCCAATCTGACCATTTTGATTCCCTGTATCAAATTTGTAAACTTGGTAATTTGATTTTAGAGCAGTAAGATTTATCTAGTAGTTGCACAAGCTAGAGTTCAGGATTAGCTAGCACTTACAGTATTAGCTCTCTTGCCAACTAATATTACGAAAACGCTTTTCTTTCCCTCATTCTTTTCTCTTTTTAAGCTGCTCGCTTTACTCACTCATTTTATCCTTTCCTTTCAATTATTCACAAGATTCATCAAAAGTAAGGGTGGGAGTAATTACTTTCACAGAGAAATGAGCAACTTATTTAAGAAGCGCTCCTTTAAGTCCTTTGCTTTTTTTCAATAATCAAGTTGATTGAAGGGCAGTGAAATTTGTCACCATTTCTACTAGATCTTATACTCCGCGACAGTATCACTTGCGGTGGCCAAGTTTGAAAGTGTCTCCCATGCGTCAGACTTTTGTATGTCTGCATGATTTTATTTTGTTTAACAGCAAAGAGATCAAATTAGAAGGGAAAGGGAGAAGGTAAATTTTCCTTTTTCTACCTTCTACAAACTCATCTTGTACTGTGTGTGTATAGTTCTGGCTTTTGTGCCCTCATCTCTCAGTAGCTGAAGCCAGCTTGAGTTGCTGATTATTTTCTACAGATTTATTTTATTTTCATTAAATAGGCAGACTCAAAGCAATAGAAGTTAAGCAGGAAAGCATTGCTTATTTCTTTTTTTTTATTTTTGACCTCTAGTACTTTTTTTGTGGGAACCGATTGAAAACTAGAGCTTCAGAAACTACGCACTGACAAAGCAGTCATTTTCTGTGTAGGGAAGAAAATACTTTTGTTTTGGAAAGCTGTCGATGTTCTTGTTTCAGCTTTACAAATCAGGATATTGAGTGATCATTATTAGAAGTTGTGGTTTCCTCACTAAGCTTGAACTAAGGGTCAGTCATTTTTCTGGATGTGTGTTAAAAATGAGATCCTTACTCTGAGAAGCAGTTCTCCAACTAAGTGGCAAGGCGTAGAATGTTCTTGATGAATATGGAAGACTTCATTCTTAGTTTTCTTGTGCCCTTCATACGTTAATATGATGCAGGTTTGAGTGATCTTCTTTTCTGAGGGAAAATAATAATAATGCAAAAACACTTTAGGACTAAAGAAACTTTCTTAGTGGAAGGCTTGTTAGAACTGAGTCTTTTCACAGTAAAAACAGTTGTTTCAGCAATGATACTTCTCTGATGGCAAGTAATCTTGTAACAAAGAGCTCTAATGAGCTGTAATTAGCGCTTAGAAATAAAGGAGAACAAATTGACTTTATTTCCCATTAAACTCCAAAGTGGCGATGTTTGCATCTTTATGAGGAAATAGTGGTATATAACTTCATAACTGGTGAAAAACTGTTTACCAAAACTGGAATTGGGAAACAAAGAAATAACAACCAAGCAGCTCACCACAGTTAAGCCAAAGAAATGGGGGATAAAAATCTTATCCATGGCAGAGTAAGTCTGTCTTGTATTTTCTCACTAGTCAGATATTTTGCCCAGCCTTATTGCTGTTGATGGAGAGAATTCAGTTTCTAATAACACTGAAATGATGCTTGTATTCACAAGTGACGTTTTCAGTATGATGCAGTTCTACATGCAGTGCAAATTCAAGGCTTTTTCTCTTGTAGGTCTGATCATATTAACATCATTAAATTACATTTCTGTTCACTGCATTGTCAAATTGACTTATTGGGATCAAGAAATATTGCAGTCAGTAAATATACAGAAAAATATTCTATCTTCTTCTTTGAATGGGATAGTGACCCCCTATATTGTCATGTTTGAGTCAGTTCTAGAACAGTGAATGGATTAATGATTCTTCCTTTGGAAAGCACTCTGCTTAAATTATTTCACACAATTGAGCACAATGAAGGCTTTTGGAGAGCATAAAACTACCCTGACCATTTCTAACCCTTAGTCACTGTTTGAAGGGGGTTATGAAGAATCTTGGGTTTTTAGACCTCTTTACACTATTCCCACTTGTAGGATTCCTTTCGAAGGAAGAAATATTTTCAGCACTATTACTTGCCTCTTGAAAAAATACTAGAGTTGAAGATGATGTGATTAAAATGGTACAACTTGAACTACGGAATATTCCTGCAGGTGCTAAAAGCCTAAGATCAGAATCTTGTTCCTTAAGGAGGGTGGTGATGTTCTATAGCTAAGATATTTTTTGGTAACTCAAGCTTCTGTCAACACTGAAATTGGTAACTCTCTTTATACAGGGGAAGGACATACCAGAATATAGTATTGAAGATTAAAACACATCGTTATGATTTTCCCTGTTCAGAAGTTTCAATAACGTAGGATATGTAAAAATTTTTGTCTTTCAAGAGGTTGCCAGTCTGCATTTGGAGAGAGCAGAAGTGTTTTACATGTCTCTGTCCTGCCAGCTACTTAACAAAATAGATGTTGCTTTGCACTGTAGAGCTTCTAAGTAGTTTTCTAGTTATGTCTTTTAAGTATAGAGTGTCTGTGTTTTTGTGTAGTCAAAACTACACACTAGACCATTAACTTCCCTGAGTTTGGTCAAGAAAGAGTTTCTGTACTGCCTCCGCCATGGTTCCCAGAAAGGGATACGTATGGCCCAGGTATTGGTTCCCAAATCAAACTAATATTCAATGGTGCTTTTGCAATAGTGACCTTACTTGAAAGTTGAATTAAAATAAATAAATTCTTGTCCAAATATTTTGCTCCTTCTGTCCTTAGGTGCATCTCGTCAGCTTTGGGCTTCAAGAAGGTCACAGATTTTCCTTTTGAATTAGGTACCTGACTGGAAAGCAGCTAGGTGGTTGTAGTTGGATACTTCATTAAAATCTCAATATTCACTTCTTGCTTGTTCCTTTAGCTGTACTTTCAGGAAGGGCCACTTTAGTGTCACTCTTGAAGTAATCACTAAGCTAACAAATGATTTATTTATGTACTTGAACATAAAAATAACCAAACTTGTTTTCTGCCCTTAACTAGAAGATTTGGAGCTGAGAAAAACCTGCATGTTACAGTTGAATATTTCACTCATATTTTCAAGTGGAAACTTAGAAAATGAATTCAAAATGATTTACAGCATTGAAACTGAAAGTTGCTGTGTGTTCTCTGTCCAGTCAGCAGAATTCCCCAGGTGTCTTCTGGGTTCTCATCTCCTGTGCAGGCTCACAATTGGTCAACAGCAGCTTCAATTCACTGGCAAGAAATGTATAAGGGTTGGGGGGGGGGGAAGGACAGGGAGTTAGGACTAAAAAAGGCTTTGCTGCACCACCAGAAATGGGAGGCCCATCAACACCTTTCAAATGTAGTCTGGCTCTGTCTGTAAAGAACCGTTTCTGACTGTAGAGAGAAGCTGAAGTGATCTAATTTGATAACTGGGCAAGAATAAAACATGCAACCTCTTTTGTGAATCAGGTGAGAAGTTCTGGAATTCACTGCTCAATGGTTCAGACTTGGGATGTGTGACTTACCTTTGTAGGCAAATTCAGATGCTGAAGTATGGCTAAGAGTTAGTTGAGCATGTAAATGAGGAAGTTACTTAGTTATATGCACAGAAAGCTGCCACACAGTTGACAGTGAATCACTAGAAGACATAAATATTTTGTTACTTCTGTCTATTTGATGATAAGCTTGAAGGGTGTTACTGTCTGTAAAGAAATTCTCTTTCCTGAATAATGGCTGTGTTTTAATTAGTGTATTTCCTTTAGAAATTCTACATTACCTAGTCCAGATAAATCTTAAGCTAACAGGTCTTCAGTATTTTTCTCTTTTCTATACTAATAAGTAATTCTTTTGGTACTTAACCAAAAACAAACAAGCAAAACAAAACAAAACAAAAAAAACCCCACCAAACTAACAGCAAAAAAAACCAGCTCTAATTAAACGAAGTTCTGAAGTGACTGATTACACCATTCTGAGTGTAATCCAGACAGAGGTTAACTCTGTGGGAGCTACTTAGTTCTTTTAATTAGTCATTGTTCCTTCCAAGCAGTGCAGTGGCTTCTTTAATTTCTGTTGCTGGCAGTCATAAATGTGAATGCTAAAATAAAACTGACTTCATAGGTGTAGACCAGGTGTACTTGTTCAGCAAATTGATCGCCTAAGTACCAGAAACCTGTTCTTTGACTTCTGAAGTAGGAAAGAGCAAATATTTTCTTGGAACTCAACTTGAAGTCAGGATAAGATTATCTTAAAATTTTGTCCTTGTTCTGGAGCAGTTTGGGAAGAGAAACAAAATCACCTTTCCTTGTGTTTATAATCCCTTTCTATTACACAGTCAAAAAAAAAAAAAAAATCTGAAAATTACAGTGTTCAAATAAAGCATCTTCCTTGCAGGTAATCCTTGTGAAAGACAGGGGAAGGGTGGGTTTGTATTTTAGTTTTGGAGTTTGTGGCTAAGCTTTTGCCAGTGGGAGCTGAATCTGCTGCAGTTGTGTTCCTGCATGGTGAAGAACTGTGTCTGCAAATTCCCATCCTGCGGAGATGGGCCTCGTGGTTGTCTACTCCTAGCTTTCTTATAAAATGCAAATTGAGAGAATCTTTAAATTCAGTTGCAAAATTTCTGCAGGCTTTGGCATTTTGACTAAAACACCTGCTGTGAAAGATAAATGTTGTTCAGATAACTTCCTGTGTAGAAGTGAAAGTAAAGGGTGGGGGACAAACAAGCGGGAGAGTCCAAAATAAGACAAAGCAGTGTTGCCTAAAGCACATGTTAATCAAAAGAGATCAAAGGATATGATGTCAGTTTATAGAGAAACAGGTCAGGCAAGCCCAGGTAACTCAGGAAGCAGGATGCTAATTATTCACAAAAAGTCAGGTATACAGTTACCGTGCTATAGTTGAAAGTCAGGAGGTCAAAACTTGCGCAGCGACTCAGCCAACGTGGTAGAACAGCTTTGCTCCTTGCAGTGGAGGTTATCCCTGTTAGAAATGGAGGAGAATGAATCAAGTTTGCCGAATGCTTCCCAACAAGGTAAGAGCATGCAAGCTTTGAAATACTTAGCTGGTAAGAAGTTTGGTGCATTGTTAGTCACCGCGTGTAGAAGCTTGTTTCACTTTCAGCTGTTGCAGTGTGTGCTGCACGTCCACACGAGTGGACTTGGTTTTTGCACATGTGTGTATCTGTGGAAAAAGAAGAAAGCCCGCATCCCTTGTTTCTGCAGTGCAGTGGTTTCTGAAAACAAAGCACAACAAGTACAGTAAAAACACAAACACTGTGCTAAGTTAAAAGAGCAAGAAAAGGTGCGATAAGATCGTGTGAATGTTGGTGCTCTGTTGTCAGCAAAGGCTGCTTTAAACTCAAGGTGAGCTGTGGGTGTTGAGGTTGCTTTTTCATGACACAGCTAAATTTGCTGCAAGTATTTTGAGGATCGGAAGTGTTTCACACTGTTTTGCACAAACTGAGTGCCTGTTGCACCTGAGCACGGCTTGGCAGATCTGCAAGGAGTGAGGACATTGTTTCCCTTTTTCACTGTTGGCTTATTCTGAGTTGTTTTCTTTCTTCCTCTGTGGGCTGTGCTAAGGTAGCACAAAACATCCATGCTAAATAGTCCTGGTAAGCACTCATAAGAATAGAGCGCTGTCCTAGACACTTTAAATTTTCAATAGAAGCCTGTACACAACAGCTCATGAATCTTACTTAGTCCTACTTTTGCGACATCAGTGTCAAGGTTCTGCTATGAAAAACAATGTTTCCCCTGTAGTCCTTTTTTCTTCCAAGAGATGGTTTTAATGTCACAGGAAATATTATCTTCCTGAGGAATTATTCCATTATTTTATCTTCTTAACATGCAGTGTTTTTTTTCCCCCTGACACTCAACCTGTGTTTTTCTTTTTCTTAATTTACCAATCCCTTTCTCAGCTCTTTCTCATATTTTGCATACCAGCAACAACTGAAGCTTTGGAACTATTTTGAGTTCTGTAAGAATCCTCAAGCTATTTTAAAATTTGCAAATGGTTTTCCAAGTGACTTGCTAGTCGTAGAGAAACTGTGTTACTGCTTTTCCCCTCCAAGTTATTCCTCATACATATGCAAGCATATTCTGCTGGGATTCAAATATGTGTCTATGACCTACGTTACATGGGAATAACTCTGTTAATGCCAGAGCAGGCTTCCTGCATTCAGAGCTTTTGAGAGTGGAAATCCCTTTTTAGTTTTCTCCCGTTTTAACATGCACTGAAGTAAGTTGAAGTGAGTTCAGTGTGCATTCAGATTTTAATTCTGGAAAAAGCAGCGACATTCAGTAGTGCACAGATATAAATACTATTTCTGTGCTGTGGTATTGAGAACTTACAGTTTTTCTTTTTTCATTCAGGATCCAACTTGGGGTTCAGTGGTACACTCTTCAGAAATATTTTCAGCCTAATTCTGATCTTGATTTTTTTTTTTTTTGTTGCAAGTGAGAAGCTGTTTCACTGCTGCAAATAAAATTATATTAGCTAAACTTACATAAGCAAATCAGGCCTTTTGTATTTTATACATGTCTTTTGAGAGCCGTGACTGTGATCCCAACTTGATTTGTCCCTTTTCTTCATTAGTGTAAGTGAGCTTAGTCAAATGAAATGATTTGCATTAGTGGGTGGAATGAGGATCATGGCTGCTCAGCAACTTGTTTTTGTGAATAGAAATGTTCTCTGTACATACACCCCAGTGTAAGGGTTTTTTGTTGTTGTGTTTTTTAGGTTGCCATCAAGGTGATGTACTGTTACTTCTGCATGTGTTTGTTTTTAGTGACTTCAAAATAATTGGTGATTTTGCTCGTGTTTTTTATTAGAAAAAAAAGTGGAAAAATTAACATTACTCAAGATACGTGTCAAAAGCACTGCTAGTGAGACGGCTTGCTTTCCTTTCATGTTATTTATTTTTGTGGAACTTTGGGCTCGTATGAATTACTAAAGGTGCCAGATTGACAGCCCTGGAGGCTGGCTTCACTTATTCATTAGCAAAAGTGATGCAGCCTGGTCAGCAGGTGCACAAACCACCTCACTGCGCTATGCTCACGTGTTTCCATTCTGTGGTGGAAAAAGCGAAACAAAAGATTTTTTTAAGGATCCAAGCATTTCAGTCCTGTTCACTCCTTGTCTTTCCCTGCAGTGTTTTCTTTTAAGGCACAACGTAATGGTCTTGTGATGATTAGGTTTGTGCACTAAGGGCTACGCCGGGGCGTTTGTTTGATTTCACCCAACGGGCATCAGATGGTGAGGAAGGCTTGGGGCTTACGTAAGTCAGTAATTCTTGCCATCTGGTCACTCAGTAAATAGAAGGTCACTCCACCATCACAGTGTTCTTGTTTTACACCAAGTGTAGTAAGTTACAAGAGTGACTTAGCGCCTGGTTTGTTTCCATTGTAATCATTTTACTACCTCTGTAAATACTCCAGCCCTTCATCTCCATGGAACTTGCAGCGTGGGTGTGCCAGTTGGCGAGATCAAAGTGAGCCCAGAACAATTGGCCTTTGACTGCTGGCCAGGAATCAATTCCTGTTCCACTGAGCTCCCTGCAAGCCCTTTAAAAATGCACTGCAGCTGACAGTGTACAGGGTATTTCTGTGTGGGCTTTTTATTATTTTTATTTGAATCAAGATCTGTCCCTTCCTACTAGTTGTTGTTTTCAGTTTTCTGTGAATGAAGTTCTGTTTACAGGAGACTCTGACCATACCAGCCCCACAAGGTGCTACATCTGTAGACGTTAATGTGATGTCATACATGAGTTGTAATTAATTTCACACTCTATTGTGTTGCTGGATGGTCGTATTAGGTTTACTCACCTGCTAAGTGTATGCAGTATACACTTGGCTTCCCCATGAAGCTGAACTAACAATTTGAGGCTGGGGCAGCTTAATGATTCAGATCTTGAGAGGCACTGGGAGTATGCTAGGCTGGGAGAAGTCAAATGAGCATTATTATTGTACCATCCTTATTTTTTCAGTGCTCCGTTATGCACTGCTTATTAACATGTCTATTTTAAGAATCATCATTAGTATTTTATAAATCCTTAATACAAACATGTGGTTGAGTATGTTATTGTATTAAACTTCCAGCAAGTCTGGTTTCCTTTTGTGATTAATCTGGACTGAGGATCAGCTCTGAAGCAGGGGTTCCTCGGGGTTTGTTCTTGTGTTCTGATATTGATTGTTTTATTTTAGATCAATATGTATGTAGTCTCATGAAACTTTTACAGACCAAGTCTAAAAGAAGCAACTAGTACTTTTTGCTGAGAAAGGCAATAGGAGCACATCAAGGGCATACATAAAGAGCACGGCATGCTTGCATGGAGCAGCAGGAATTAGAAAGGGAATGTCTCAAAGTGAATTTGAGAAGTGTTTCTTCTCAGTCTCAAGCTTCTCTTATCAGAAGAACTTTCTGGCCACTAGCTCTACTTGCTAGGCTATTTCAAGGAACAGCCTCATTCTTCAAGTGCGCTTGAGTGGGACTTTGGATAATGCTAATGAATGCTGTAATCAGTTGCAGTTTTTAAATGGAGTTGTGCAGCATCAGATGATAGATGTGAAGGTCCATTGTTTAAAAAATAAATAATCACACTTCTGCTTTGCATTTGATTCTGAGGACCTCAGTCCCCTGAGTTCAGTGCCTGTTAGCTGTCTAGACAATTATTAGCAGAACATCGCTGGGTCTTCCCTTGGCTCTTTTAGGATGATAATAGTGAAGTTTTCTGTGACAGCGTTTCTTACTTAGTTTGACTCTATTCACCAACAAGGTATGGGAACAATGGATAATTTAAAATAATTCATTTTATTGCTGCCTCCTGTAGATTTTTGACTTTCATTTCAGAGTAGGGAGTGTGGAGAGCTAGAGAAGTATGTACTGATCACTGTCCTGGTGCTGTGAAAAATACGAGATTCTGATAGTCCTGTAGAGTCATCATCAGCAGGATCAGCACAGAGCACTCATTTGACTTCAGCTTTAATCATTCTGGTTTTTTTTTTTTTTTTTTTTTTTTTTTTTTCAAAATGCTTTTAACTCTTATCACAGGAATGCTGTTTTTTTCATGTCGATTTTCTGGTTTGCGTTTGTAAAGCAGGGTGTGAAATTGCAGTTCTAGAAAAAATATCCTATGTAACACAAGCATATTAAAACTGAGAAAACTACTTAAATTGACTACTTAAATTGAAGCATGATAATTGTGAATCTCTACCAATGGTGAGAATCTACTGCGGAACTGAGTATCAAACCAAAGGCTTCCAGCTCCCAGTCTGCTCCGTGTTATTCTTATTTGGTTGTTATATTCCTCTCCAGTTTTTAGAGGTGTGTTGCAGATGACTGCTTCCTAATCTGTATGCCCGGAAATGAAACAAGATAGCAACATCTTGCTGTAATAAATAGTACTGAAATTGAAAATGTACAGCAAATGGATGATGTTTGCAAAGTGTCCAAAAACTTCACTTCTATGTTTGAGCTGCTTTCAACTTTGAAATTCTGCTAGCAGGTAAATAATCTCTAGTCAGCTGTAGGTCCTATCGGGATTTGTTTGCGTCTCAGGGGACCCAGAGGAGAGTGGTCTTTTCCCCAGTAAATTGTTGATCAGAATATGTCTCTTAGGAGGTGAACAGAGGTGGGGTAATTGTATTTATTTTTGCTGTTCCCATGCTTCTTTTGTCTGAATTGAATGGCACTTATTGGAGAAAAGAACTAAGATTGATGCAGAGGGGATATCAGTGTAGTTTCAGCTTCTTCAGACAGAAGGAAACAGGATTTGTGTAAGCTTGTGTAAGCAATGGTGACACAAGTTTGTAATTGAAAAAGAGCTTTGCATTTGTAGCAGGTCCTAACAAGGTCCATTTCCTTCTCCTAGTACTTCAGGTTTTCTGGAAATGGGTGAAAGTTTGGTACCTTTACATAGGGATAGGACACCAGAGTTCTGCTGGAAAAGGTGGTGGTGTAGAAGTCTTTTTGTCTTTGCTTAAAAAACAATACATTCACTGATCTCCACCACAGAAGAGGTGGTGCAATCTCAAGGTTGTATCCTTAAGTACCAAACGTTTCCAACTTGCTGTTAATTGTTGAAATATGCTTCCTAAAGACAGACAAGATTATTTTTCTTTATTGAAATATAGTTGTGATCAAGGTACTTAGATTT